ATATCCAAAAATGAAAAAAGAATAAATGTTTCTTAAGTAAAATGACACGAAAATTACGATATCGGTCAATTTTTGAATTTTTTTTCAATATTTTTTTTATAAAACTAAATTTTATTCGTATATTTTTCATATACATTTGTGTCGTTCACAAATAGACAATAACTAACGCATTAGCCCAATTTTCAGGAAATTCGTGTTTTCGGGAGTCTCCACCACCGCCCCGACTGGTCCCCCCGTCGCAATTTCCTCGGAAAACTCATTTTCCTCCTCTCCCTCGCCCGCAACGCCCTCATTGTCATCATCGGAACCCTCATCTCCTACTACTTATACGACCAGAAACCGTTCAAGATCACCGGAAAAGTCAGTGGGGGTTTCCCCCCTTTCAAACCACCCCCATTCTCCACCAACTTCACCGGAACCGAATCCACTTTCAGCGACATGGTCCAAGGCTACGGCGTTTCCTTCATTTTCATCCCTTTGTTATCAATCCTCGAGGCCGTGTCGATAGCGAAGGCTTTCAGTAAAGGCCGCAAACTGGACGCGACGCAAGAAATGCTAGCTTTGGGCCTTTGCAACACTTTTGGCTCGTTTTTCGGGTCGATGCCAGTGACCGGATCTTTCACCCGGAGTGCTGTTAATAACGCGTCCGGAGTTAGGACTCCGTTAGCCGGAATTTTCACTTCTTTACTCCTCCTTGTAGCTATAGCTTTTCTTACCCCCACGTTCTATTATGTGCCAAAAGCGACCCTTGCAAGTGTCATAATAGCAGCGATGTTTTATTTGTTCGATTTTGGGGCCTTTTCCTTGCTTTGGAAAACCAAAAGTAGGAAAAATTTTAATTGGGAAAAACCAAAATTTTCACTGATTTTGTAGAACTCGATTTGGTCCCCTTTTTGACCACTTTTCTCTGCAGTCTTTTCCTTGGAGTGGATTATGGGATTTTAATCGGAGCTTCGATTAATTTACTTTTCGTTTTGTATGCAAGTGCACGACCTAAATTTACCATAACTAAGGAAAAAATCCCAAATGATGGAAGCGATATTTATGTAATCACCCCGAGGGACACTCTATTTTTTCCAGCAGCTGAGTTTTTAAGAGATACAGTATTGGAATGTGAAGGTGACCAAGTTACGGTCATTATTAATGGAAAATATATCAGAAATATGGACATAACTGTGGCTAAAGTAACAATTTTTATAAAAAAAAACAAATTTGAAAAATTTTTTCAGAGTATTTCTGTGCTAGCCCATGAGCTCAATTTACGTAAATCTAAAGTCATGTTTGTTAATTTCAAGGAATCGGTGATGAAAATTTGTCTAGGAGTTGATAAAAAACTAGAGAATTATTTCTTCAGTGAAGAATATTACAACAGTGTGATTAAAGGTCAGTCTTTTGATTAGTTTATTATGAATTGAATTATTATTTTTTTCAGATACTTCCCACGAACTGGATTCTTCCAAACTGTGATTATTTTAAGTGTTGCCAATAAAAAATAAAATTACCAGTGATCGATTATTATTTGCTACCCTAGAAATAATCGAGTAAAGTGGCCAATAAGTGGCGTGATGCTCTCAATTGTGACATTTTTAGTTTCAATAGACGCAAAAAGTGTGTGAAAAACCGGTAAGCAAGCTAGTTTTTAACAGAAACTTAATCAGTTTTCTGCTAGGTTTTTTTCAGTGTAACTAAATTAATAAAAAACACCCAAAACAGTTAAAAAATGAAAAAAATTCAGTATTTGTAGCGTACTCGTAAATACTTTTTCCAGTTTTGACTAAGAACATCAACGTAAAACAAGAGTTTCTGATGTTAAATGAGGCGGGGATTACAAATCTAAACTTGAATTTTATTTGCATTAATTATTTTTTAAGATATCGGCTTTTAATTGTCGATTTTTACAAGTTAATAAGCTTAGTTTATGTGGATTTTTTTCAAACTTTTTAAAAATTGTACAAAAGTATGTTTCTCATGTAAAATGGCACGAGGATTATGTGTACTTACTTATATATGTACTTAGGTTTTTAACACAACTATTATTTTTTGAGATATAAACCGATTTTTGATCAGTTTTCTGAATTCTAGCAATTTTTTTTAATTTTCTTAAAGGTAAGAAAATAAAAAAATTGTGTTTTTTCTATTGTAAAATGCTACGAGGCTTACAAATGTGTACTTAAATTGTATGTGCAGCGATTAATTTTTATAATATTGACCAATTTTGATCTATTTTTTAAGTCAAATTTAATTTTTACAAAACTTTTTCAATATAATTTTTTTGAGAACTGCACAATTTTGTGTTTCTAATGTTGTATGATACGAGAATTACTTTATACTTTATAATTTTATTTGCAAATATTAATTTTTAAAATATACAGCTTTTGGTTGATTTTTTTCAAGTCGAACTTAACACTGGATTTTTTGTGTCTCTAATTAATAAAAAAAATCGCTTAGGACATTCAAAAAATAAAAAAGTCAGTATCTGTAACGTAGGTAAATGATTTTTGATTTTGTTTGCAATGTTTAGTTTTTAAGATATGTATTAGTCATTTTTTTTAACTCAAACTTAGTTTGTACAAAGTTCCAATTTTGAATAATAAAATCAAAGTTAAACAAAAGTTTCTGATGTGAAATAAGGCGAGGACTACAAATCTGAACTTGAATTTTATTTGCATTAATTATTTTTTAAGATATCGGCTTTTAATTGTCGATTTTTCCAAGTTAATGTGAAATTTTTGGTCAGTTTTTCGAAGCGTTTTAATTTTAGCAAATCCTTTCTAATTTTCCTGAAAATAGGGCAAAAAAATGAAAGAATGCTGTTTTTAATAATGCAAAATGTTACGAGAATTACAAACTTGTAAGTACTTAAATTGTGAATAATTTCAAAGTATTGACCGATTTTGATCAATTTTTTTGAGCCAAATTTAATTTTTACAAAAGTTTGTATTTTTTTTTGAAAATTACATAATTCTGTAGTCCTAATCTGGTATGACACGAGGATTATATACTTGAGTTTTATTTGCAATAAATAATTTTCAAATATCACCATACTTTTATTTGATTTTTTCAATTCAAATTTAACACTGTTTTTTTATGTCTCTAATAAAAAAATCGTAAATGTAATAAATTTCTTTAATGTAAAATGGAACAAGGATTACAAATATGTACTCTGGTTTTTCACACCATTATTATTTTTTCAGATTTAAACCAATTTTTGAGAAGTTTTTTAAAGTCTTTTAATTTTAAGGAAGGTCACAAATTTGTACTTAAATTGTATGTGCAGTGATTAATTTTTATAATATTAACCAATTTTAATCTATTTTTCGAATCACATTTAATTTTTACAAAACTTTTTCAATTTAATTTGTTTGAAAACTTCACAATTCTGTGTTTTTATTTGCAAATATTAATTTTTAAAATATTATACAGCGTTTGGTAGATTTTTTTCGAGTCAAACTTAACATTGAATTTTTTGTATCTCTAATTATTAAAAAAATGCTTAGGACATTCTAAAGAAAGAAAAAAAGAAAAAAAAATGTTGTTGTTGAATTGTAATATGTTATTTTTTATAGAAAAAGTTTTAATTTTGAATAAACAACACATAAGGTTTTTCTATAAATTAAAAAACAAAAATCAAGTTTGACTCAAAAACTCAAATCATAAAATTCTTAACTTAAAAACCAATTTTGAAATTTTGGTGTCAATGACCTAGACACAAATGTGGTGGAGGCGCATAAAAGAGATATTATTTGTAATTTTTTTATTCTTAAGAACGGAAATAGGGTGAATAAAAGAATTTGACCCACGTCGGTTTCAATTTTTTTTTTTAACTTACCTACTTTTTTTATTCCAAAAACACACATAAAATCACTTATACAAAAAAAAATACCTTGGCTCGGGTATTTAAGTGCAAATAACGACAAAAACATTCAGTTTTATCAATGTATTTGTCCCAAAAATTGTCCATAAACTGTTTTTTTTTAACTAAAAATATACAGACGGCGCAGTTTTAATCGAATTGGATGAGAAATCCTTCAGTCGCAAAAAAATCTCATTAAATGGCTCACTAGTACCACCAGGGTTGGTGTTTTTGTCGACCTTGGTTACAATTTGCTGATTTTATCGCCTCATTTACGAATTGTTATCACAGTGCTAATAGGACTTATGGGAAATAAACCCGCTTTCAAGAAATTTTGTTCTATTTGCTCACTCAGAGAGGGGGTACATAAAGTATAAAAAGAGTACAATTACATTACATAAGTGACGAGACCGCAAAAACGTTGTTACCTTGTTAGTGAAGAAGGCCACTAGTCAATGCTACAATTGCATCGTTTTCGAGTGTGACCAAACCTTTGTATAAATACCAATTAGGAATTCAGAAGACGTTGTTTGATTCGCATTTTGCGCCAATTGACTCAATGTGAAGTTGTGTTAAGTGTAGTGAATCGGGTAAGTACCTAAGAAAGTGAAAAAATTTTTGGCCTTGTTACAAGCCGGATTTGAATCCACTTGAAGATGATTGGAGTGTGATAGACCAAGACGATATGTTTATAAACTGGCCGGAGATTGTTAAAAGGGGATTTCCGGTACTGACCTGGGGCAAAAATTATAGTCTGGATGTTGCTATTGCTGATTTGGTGGCTGGGATTACGATAGGATTAACATTAATTCCGCAATGCATTGCTTATGCATCCCTGGCGGGATTAGGACCCGAGGTAAGACGCCCAAAAGTCGAAAGTTTTACAAATGAGGACAAACCCAACCCAAAATTACTTTTAATCACAATTCGGGATGACAGTGCAAGAATAACATTACATAACTAATAATTAAAAAAAATCACGTACAAAAAATAAATATAAAAATTTAATCTGTATTTAGGAATTTTGATTAAAAAATTAATTAAATTGTGTGCAATGGCAAAAATGAGAACTTTTTTCTGATAACATTGTGTTGGAACTCTAAACATGTTTTATTGGTGGAAACTCCGATAATAAAGGCATTTTAAAAAAAATAAATTTCAGTCATTGAATAACGTGACAATAAAAAGTTTTGAGAATATCAAATTCCCAGATTTATTTATTATATTTTTTAACACCGGATGCTCAAAACTATGAATAATGTTTACAATTGTTTATCCAAATACTCAGAATTGTTTTTTTTACCTTCATAAAAGTCAATAATGATCATTGTTGATATGCAACCAGTAATACCCCAAAATGTAATAATTCCTTAAGTTTACAATAATAACACAACAATCAAAAATAAATGTTTGCTTTTATTTATTTATGTGCATTTAGATCTTAGACATTTTACAAAATCCTTTTTTCATTGTATAATCCATAACCTCAATTGATATATAATTACTACAGAAAATACATTACGCAACTATTTGTAATAAATTACACAGCTTTTCAACGGTACCAGTATCAAAATATTGATAAAAAAATTATCATAATTAAAAATTAACGTTGCGTGGGGTAGACAATCAATTATACGGCTTGTTTATTTAGTTGCATAACCTCCAGTATGAGTTACATTTGTCTTCCTGTTACACATTTCACAAAATCATTTTTTTTTATCATAATCTCAATTTCTATACAGAATGCGCCAGAACTCGCGCCCCAGAGAAAAATGCCATATAAGGTAAGATACCAGGAACATGGAAAAAATGTTAAAAAAATTTTATCTATGAAAATTTCGAAGTTATGAGGGTTTAAAGTTTGTACTTTGACTCTATTTATTTCTATTGGAAAAATAATTTTCAAAGTTTTTTTGCTATAGGCTATTAAAAGAAGAAACAAGGAAGCTGTATCCTAAATTGTAACTCTGTTCAATGTAATTTGTGGCAAAATTTTTGTCCCTTTACTAAATAATTGTAAAAAAAACATATACAAGATCATCAGTATCATTAAATAGATATAAAATATGTCAAATGTCAAAAAATAAATGTCAAAATTTTTTGACAGATAGAATTTTTTAAACATTTTTTTCATGTTCCTGGTATCTTACCTTACTTGAGAATTTTCTCTGAGGCGCGAGTTCTGGCGCACCCTGTATAATTACTACAAAAATACATTACAAACTACTTGTAATAAATTACACAGCTTGTCAACGAAATATCGATAAAAAATTATCATAATTTAAAGCTTAAGTGGGATAGACAACTAGTTATACGGTTTGTTTATTTGGTTGCATAACTCCAGTATGGGTTATATTCGTCTCTTTGTGGAGGGATAATCTACGTGGTTTTCGGGGCTGTCCCCGAATTGAACATCGCCCCCACGGCCCTCCTCTCCCTCCTCACCTTCACCTTCACAAACAACGCGTCTTTTGGGAAAGTCAAAGCCGCCATTTTGCTTTGTTTCCTGTCGGGCATCATCGAACTGTTTTGTGGAAGCCTCCATTTGGGTAAATCCCCTGTTGTGTTTTCTCGTTTAAATGAAATAATTAGGTTTTTTGGTTGATTTCGTGTCAACGCCGGTCGTTGCTGCGTTCACCTCGGCTGGCGCCTTGACCATCGCCACTTCCCAAATCAAGAATTTGCTCGGTTTGAATTTCTCGGCTGATAGTTTTGTCGGCGTTTGGAGCAAAGTTTTCGGGCATATAACCGAGACGAAAATGTGGGATGCGATTCTTGGGATTGGGTGTTGCGTTGTTTTGTTGTTGTTGAGGGTAATTTGAGACAGTTGGGGAGATTTTGGGTAATTTAAAGGTTGTAGAAATTGAAGGATTATGGGAGTCCGCCTCTGGATGACCACAAAGTGGTTTCAAGAGGGAAAAAAGTGATTTGGTTTTGTTCAGTGGCGCGCAACGCCTTTGTGGTCATTGCATGCGCCGCCACTGCTTATTTGTTCGACAGTCGCGGGGAAAAACCCTTTTCTCTCACTTGTAAGTTTCATTTTTCAGTTATAACTCTTAAAATTTGATTATTTTTAGCGAAAGTTCCTGAGGGACTCCCCTCTTTCACAAATCCAGTGGCGGAAGTCCAACACGGCAACACCACAACCAGTGTCGTCGACATGATGAAGGAACTGGGGGCCGGCATTTTCGCCGTCCCTTTCGTCGCCATTTTAGGCAACGTTGCCATAGCCAAAGCTTTCGGTTGGTTAATCCCCCATTGTCAATTTTTTATTAAAATTTTTTGACAGCTAAAGGTAAAGTCATTGATGCCTCGCAAGAAATGATCGCAGTAGGCATGTGCAATTTGATTGGTTCGTTTTTCGGATCGTATCCGGTAAATGCGTCGTTTTCGAGGGCGGCTGTGAGTAATGCGAGCGGTGTGAGAACGCCTTTAGCAGGGATTTATACAGGTTGGCCAACTGAATTAAAAAAAACACAATTTTTAGTTTTTTTCAGGTGTAATGGTGATTTTAGCATTGACGTTTCTAACACCGTATTTTTCGTATATTCCAAAGCCGACTCTAGCAGCTGTCATTATTTGTGCTGTTATTTTTATGGTCGAAGTTACGTTAACAAAACTAATATGGCGAATTAATAGTAATTTTTACGTAAAGTTGGTAACACGAAACTGGGTTTTTTATGTTACAGAGATCGATTTAGTGCCATTTTTTGTTACTTTAGTTTTTTGTTTGGTACTTGGGATCGAATTTGGAATTTTGATTGGTGTTTGCGTCGACATATTGTTTTTATTGTACCGAACTGCAAGACCTAAAGTTGTTTTTGACTACATTCATGTAATTTTTGACAGTGTTTTTGACAATATGTTTGACACTTTTTTCCAGAATGAAAATCAGACAAATTATGTCAAAATAACCCCAACTTCCGCCATTTTATTCCCGTCAGTGGAATACATTCGAGAGAAAATAATGCAAAACAGTGAAATACAAAATGTCAAATATACATTTCTCGTTTTTGACTGCCAGAGAGTCAATAAACTTGATTTTACAGCAGCTAAGGTGAGTTTTTCAGTGAAAATTTTCTTATTACAGTTATAATATTTCAGTCTTTGTCTGCGCTACTCTCCGATTTGAGCAAAATGCAAAAACAGGTCATTTTCTACCGGTCGCAGAAAGCCGTTGTCAAAATTATGACAAAAGTGACTGAAGGTGGCGTAAAAATCGCCGAAACGGAGGAGAATCTGTACGAAATTTTGCAAGGTGATAAGATTTGGTATTATTGCAGTGTTGCAATCCGTTACCTTTCATAGTAATTATTGATTTCTCAATCCGGTAGTCACCGGAACGGAAATGCACTTGACACTTTATTTGAGACAATTTACTGAAGCCGGCCCTGACCCTAAATCCCACTTTATCGATCGTAAGATGGCAACACTGATAACTGTCAATTTTCAGAGCATGACAAGACGAGGAGGGAGAATACTGTGATTAGTGTGGAAGAGAAAGAGAACAATACAACGTTGTGACACGCACAGTGATGGAGTGGTGTTGTTACCCCTGTTTGTTATAAAAAATGTTTTTTCAAAAATAAAAATATCCAAAACTTGTAGTCTCATTGTTGTGTAATAAACAAGCAAAAAATGCATTCATTGGCCACTTATCATTGCCGACGGCACATTAAAGTGATAAGAGCCGGCAGTAAAAAATAAGGTTAAGGTTATGATGTGAAACATTTCTCCAATTTGTTGTTTCTTGTGGCACTTCCGCCCTGGTAAGTGATTTAATTGTCGCAATAACCTTCAAGTTATTACGCAAGTGATATTTGCGGTAAACACTGGGAAAAACAACACGAAATTTAGCTTATATACACACACTGTTCACATACTTTATTTTTTCTATAATAAGAGCGAGATTAGTCACAGCTAAGGTCGAAAAACGTGCATTTTTGCCCGATTCAAGGATCTTGCGAAAATCAAATCGCCGCAAAACATTCGAAGGTTTTGAAAGTCTGGCGCGAAATTTGAATTTTTTCAAATAGTTTCCGGTCGATAGACGCTCAAGAACACCGCGAGAATTTTAAAAGTACTCCAGAAGTATGAGAGTAGAAGGGGGCAAAGTCAAACGCACGTGATTCTGAATTATTTAAATTAATTGAGTCTGCAGTTGACGCTCAGTCGATTTGTGATTTCCAAAATGGATTGATTTTTACACTATCAGTGTCTAATTTTATTTGCAATTGTTGCAACAAGAAATGTATTACTTGTAAATTTAGTCATAAAAAGTGAGTATCGCGCGTGATTTTTTTTGATACTAAACACGGTTTTTCATCGCGTTTAATTAGCTTTGACGGGCGATTTCTCTGTTTTTGACAAAATTTTGCTTTTTTTTTGTCAAAATTTGACAAAACACCACTCGTTGCTATGGTTATGGTCCGTTGCTACACCATTTTTTACACGTTGCCATGGTTATGCCCTATTTTCCTCAAATTGCTATGCTAACGAATTGTCAAGTACTGCTTGTTTTTGACAATGAGTAAGGTCATTGCTCTGACCGGATTTTCATCCGGTGAAAGTCTTTCACTTTTCCTCCGGTATTTTGAATTGTTTCGCGCGACCGTTATGTCGCACCTCCAAAAAACCGTTCATTTTGTTCGCAGGTGCCCCCATGTCCGTTAGTGCGTGGCTAAAGTCAGTGGCGGTGCGTCGGGTGCCCATCTTGGGGTGGGCCCCCCAGTACTCCACCGAGAAGTTAGTGAGTGACGCCATCGCAGGAATCACAGTTGGCTTGACTGTCATGCCACAGGCCTTGGCATATGCCACTTTGGCCGGTTTGGAGCCACAAGTAAGGCATTTTTTGGATTTTTTTTTGAAATTGGAAAATTTTTTTTCAGTACGGATTGTACTCAGCGTTTGTCGGTTGTTTTGTTTACACGATTTTTGGTACTTGTAAAGATATTACGATAGGGCCGACGGCCCTTATGGCCCTCATGACGTACCAACAGATCATTGGTCGCAACACAGATTACGCGATTCTGCTTTGTTTTCTGTGTGGGGTACTACAACTCGTCATGGCCATCTTGCATTTAGGTACTTTTCGAGTGATTTTTGACAATCATTTGTTTGTTTTTGACAGGTGTTCTCATCGATTTTATTTCTATACCGGTGACAGTCGGTTTCACTTCAGCCACATCTGTGATAATCATGACATCGCAAATTAAAAGTTTGTTAGGTTTGAAAATTTCATCGTCGGGGTTTTTGGATACCATCACCAAAGTTGTCAAAAATATACACCACACTAGAATCGCAGATTTGACACTAGGAGTGGTGTGCATCGCCGTCTTGATGCTTCTCAGGGTAGGTAAAAAATCAGTTGGCGTTGGCGTTGGCGCCAATTTTTGACACTCATTGTCAAAAACCAAATTTTAACCATAACCATTTCGATTAGATATTTTTATTTTAAAAAACTTTAAAAACGATTATTTCATTTTGTAATTATTATTATTATTTATTATTATTATTTACTAAGATTTTGTCATTAAAAAGTGGGGTAGGTAAAAAAAATCAGTTGGCGTTGGCGCCGATTTTTGACACTCATTGTCAAAAACCAAATTTTTACCATTTCGATTAGATATTTTTATTTTAAAAAACTTTAAAAACAATTATTTCATTTTGTAATTATTATTATTGATTGATTATTTTTATTTACTAAAATTTAGTCATTAAAAAGTGCGTACTATAGAACGTGACCGAATAGTTTACGACACTAAAATTTATTGTTTTTTTTTTTTTCACATTTTTTTAATTACTTTTATCGACTGGTGACAAAAAAACACAAAATATTTACGTTCAGATTTTTTATCAATTGTTTTGTCTTAAATATGCGATTACCCTTGAACATTCAACATCGTCTTGCCTCTAAATTTCTGACAAAATTTACATAATCGGGGCTTGCCATGATTCATTTTTTTGCTCGATAAACAGAACGTTGCCATGGTTATGGTTCGTTCCTACGGTTTTTATCTCTCATAACCATGGCAACCAATCAACAATTATTGTCAAAAATTCCTGATTATTGTCAAATTACTGCCAAAAACCGCCCCTAATAAATTTCTGACGTTACATGAGTCAAAGTACATTGTAATGAAAATCGTAACAATTAATGAAAAATCGAATTTTTGCCTATTTGCGACAAATTAAGGTCATCGTGTCATCTCTTAACGATTGTGGACTATATTCCGTCGCATAAATTTCGATTTTTATGAAAATTATTTACGTCTTTCTCTGCGTTATCGCCTCATAAATCCCCTCTTTTCCAGAAACTTAAAGACTACAAACTTTCGAAAAAGCAGCGAACTTTTTCGAAAGCCCTTTGGTTGATCTCAACATCGCGTAACGCCCTTGTGGTCATCGTATGCTCGACTGTGGCCTATTTTTACGAAATCCGGGGTCCGGGCTCGCCCTTTCGACTCACGGGAACGGTGCGTCCCGGACTCCCGGATTTCCGGCCGCCCCCTTTTGCAACGACTTTGAATAATCGGACAATCGGTTTCGGCGAAATGGTCTCCGATTTGGGGACTTCTGTGGTCTTAGTGCCCATAATTGGCGTCTTGGGCAACGTCGCCATAGCAAAAGCGTTCGGTGAGTCTGGTACAGGAGTGCCAACTTGAAATAATGAGAATTTTAGCCAGCGGACAGATGATTGATGCGACCCAAGAACTGATGACCTTGTCGATGTGTAACGTTTTCGGATCGTTTTTCTCATCGATGCCGGTTACGGGATCGTTTTCAAGGTCGGCGGTGAATCACGCCAGTGGCGTACGTACCCCCTTGGGAGGGGTTTACACCGGGATTATGGTCCTCCTAGCGTTGGGATTTTTAACACCGTATTTTGCTTTCATCCCAAAGGCTTCGTTGGCGGCCGTGATCATCAGCGCTGTCATTTTTATGATCGAATACGAAGTGGTCAAACCCATGTGGAGGAGTAGTAAGAAGGATCTAGTGGCCACGTGTGCCACTTTTGTCTTTTGTTTAGCCATTGGCGTCGAATATGGGATTCTTGTAGGGGTAGGGATTAATATTATGTTCCTTTTGTATCCCTCGGCGCGGCCTACTGTGCACGTGGACAAAGTCAAAGTAATCCTTGCGTTTTTTGTTTTTTTTTTAAATAAAATTTGACATTTTAGACTCGGATTAACGGAATTGAGTACATTATGATAACTCCAGGAAACAGTCTTTACTTCCCTGCTGTTGATTTCATTAAAACAAGCATCGGGAATGCTGGGATTAGTTCCAAACATTTGCCGGTGGTTATCGACTGCCGTTTCATCCTCGCGGCTGATTTTACAGCAGCTAAAGGGATTTCAGCTCTCATAAACGAATTTTTGATACGACGACAGCCTCTCTACTTTTTACACACAAGGGAGGAAGTCGTGTCGTTATTTCGCGGCGTTTTTGACAACGATTTCAAGTATTTTACGACACGTGAAGAGTTGGAATCGATTTTGGAGGGTAAGAGGGAGGAAAGTTAACTTTCCTGACCTAATTGTTTCTTTACAGAGAAATGCAAGGAAATTGACAATGAGGAAACTCACTTATTAAATAACCATAACCAGTGGCGTCACAGTTTGGTGGAAATGACTGAAATACCTTGTGAAGACTCAAATATTAACCAACGAAAAATAACAAAATGAATCATGACTTTTCTCGTATTATTTAATATCTATTTATAAGTGTATATAAAACAGCAAAAGCCAAATAAAACTCATTTATCTTAACTAATCTTTATTTTAAAAAAAAAAAAAACTAATCGATTTCTACAACCCCCCCAACTTTCTCAATCGCCGCTTTCAATTTCTCAGCCTCTTCCTTGCTGACGTCCCCCTTGAGCAACGCGGGGGCCCCCTCAACGAACTTCTTCGCTTGTACTAAATTCATCCCTTCCATCAGCCCCTTGACCTCCTTAATAAGCGCGACTTTTTGTTTCTCATCAAATTTCATTAATTTCACATTAAACACGGATTTGACCTGTTTGGGGGCCTCGTCGTCGTCTTCAGCGGGGGCCGCCGCTGCGAAGCCTCCAACTGGCATGACCGGCGCATCCGGGAGATTTAGACGTGTCTTCAAAGCCCCACTCAATTCCGACACTTCTAATAAGTTTAACTGTGAAATTTCGGTCACGAGTTTCTCGATTTTGGGGCTGATGGGCTTCTCGACGTTGCTGGGGGGCGGAATTGTGACTTTTTCGGCGGGGGCTGCCTGCGGCTCGGCTGAGTGTAACACCGAACTGGAAAGTGGGGTTAGAAAATGTGGGGGTTAGCAAAGTTGGAAATTACCAGCGGGAGAAGCTGCGCCACGCTCGGAGGGGCACACGGAGGGTAATTCGAGCCGAATTCATGTTTCTAGTGATTAAATGTGATAATTGTGGCGGAAAACAGGTTATGTCATGTGTCAAATGTCGATAAGTAACGAAATCCGCTAATAGCAAAAACTCCAGAAACTCTCATAAAAAATAAAATCGTAATAACTTTTAGTGTACGCATTCACCAGTTTCAAATAAAGTGTTAGTAGTTCAATTTATTTGTAATAAACTACACTTCTAAGGTAATTAAAACTATTACGAAATCTGGTATTCGCGAAACAAACCCAGTGACCGTCAAACTGTTCGTAGAATCGTGAAAAAAACCAAATGACCGTCAAAATGTTTGCAATAAGTACAAAAAACAGAATTTCTTTAAAATTTTATTAAAATTAATCATCTAGCTGACATAATGCGGCCACTCCTCGATTAATCCAATGCCTTTCCGGCTTATCTGAATCAAAAGTCATGTACATGACGAAATTTGTCGAATGTCCTGTCGTTGATAAGACTCCTCGCCGTGCTGATGTCTTATAAACCGGGCAGTTATAACACGGGACCGGTTTATAGTCTTCTTTTACGTTCGGTTTTAACCAAATAATTGGTACAACGTCGAATAGAATTTTCGGAAAAGATTCATTTAATTTTTGCAACTTTCGGTCCCATCGAGCCCCTTCGAGGAACAAACCCTAGAAAAATCTCAAAATTTAACAAATGGGAAACATCACACATAAAAAATCCCTGGTTCTAAAGCCTTACTTACATCAAACAAAATACTAAATTCCTCAATTTCCCTAACCTGCTGCTTGTAATAATAATAATAATAATGATGCTATTACTAAGAAATAATAATAAAAAAGTCAGTCACCTTGCAATGGACCCCAATTTCCGGCACAGTTTGAGCTTCTTTTTCAAACTTGGTGACATAAAACTCGAAATGAATCCAATCGATCGGTAATTTCCGCTTGCGCGAAAAATTCTGTAAAACCCCCGTGAGAAAACTCTGCGTGAAATAAAATCCCGACAACCAGAAAACATCAGGTGGTCCTTGATCGATCCAATCTTGGAAAAATTTCAATCTTTGAATCAAATCCAAAACATAAGAACCCAACGGTTTAAGACTTGGGTAACTCTTATTGGCCCACGCTGTCGGTACTTTACCCACTTTCAACGAATTACAAACTTCTTCTAATTCGCCTGACATTACCACCAAACCCTTGACGGCTTTTATCATAAAGCTGAGTGTGCGTTTAACCACTTCCACCAATCGGTTAAACCGGATTAGTTCCTTATTGTCAAATTTGGGTTAGTGCCAACTTAACAGTATTAAATTACCTGTCTTAAAACTGTATTCATTGAATTACTATACATGACTGGATATTTATTACTGACTACTTCGATGTCGTATAAAGCGGGCATTTTGCCCAAAATATCATTGGCCAAGTCAATGAGAACGTCTTGTGATTCGTCATCAGCACCCCCTGCTGTTATATGCGTCTGCGTGAGTAAAACACCATTTAATAACTAAAAATACCAACATAACAACAATAAAATCACCACATTCAGTTACAGTGTGAGTCTCTTGATTATCTTTCGTAATGTCGGCGTTTTCGTGCAAACCAAACACTTCCGGTTGTGGCATAATCGGAAGCGTCTTGATGTAACTCAAACAACCTTCGTAGGAAGTGTCTACAGGTACGTAGTAAAGGCCACTTGGCGAAAATGCATATCTGTCAAAAAATTTAGTTATTTTTGGTTTTTCTCACACGAAATTTCGTCCTTACAATGGTTTAGTTATAACCTCCGGTGTGTAAAATATGGATAAGAGAGAGTTCAACAATCTTCTGTCCTTGTCGTCGGTCACTCGACCGCCATAATTACATTCTCCAGCGAGATACGTCAATGCGTCAAACGGAACGTCTTTGTAATCCGTCAAAAACATCTGCAATTGATGTTATAGTTGCTAAGCAACGGGATTTTGAGTGTTACCAGCAATTTGAAACAGATAATAAGTTATTTCAGGGTCATGTGACGCAATAAAACACAAATTTAACCTTATTTTTTTAATTTTCTTCAAAAACTGTGAATTTTAATGAATTTTAAACTTAAAATAATAAGGTAGGTGCACTTGAGTGCAAAAAAACGCAAACTGTTTTTTTTATAATGTAATTTGGCCTGTTAATAAATGCCAGTTTTTTGACGTTGTCTTTGTCACAATTCACAATTTTTTAATTGTCAGGCATCTTCATGTTTTTCCACCAATAAGATATTTGTTTTGATAGTTTTCTAACCTTTTTGGGAACAACCTTTTTCACACTATGTGAATCTCTAAAAATTTGACAATTTTCTTTTTGACAATTTACGTTTTTTTGCACTCAAGTGTAGATACATCGACTCTGATTTTTACTAATTTTTTTAGATAAGATTAAATAATTTCTAGACTATTAATTTGTATTATACTAACTGCATAACATAAATCTTAAAACAAAAACTTTTTTGTATCTTAGACACTCTAAATCGAATAAAACAAATTTCTTTTGTCCCAATGTCAAAAAATTTTGTTTACCTACAGGGTGTGCCAGAACTCGCGCCCCAGAGAAAATTTTTAAGTAAGGTAAGATACCAAGAACATGAAAAAACTGTTTAAAAAATTCTATCTGTCAAAAAATTTTGACATTTGACCTTTTTTATATCTATTTAAGGATACAGATAATCTTGTGCATGTTTTTTTACAATTATTTAGTAAAGGGACAAAAATTTTGCCAATAAAAGCCACAAAAAACATTGAACAGAGTTACAATTTAGGATACAGCTTCCTTGTTTCCTCTTTTAATAGCCTATAGCAAAAAAACTTGGAAAATTATTTTTCCAACCGAAATAAATAGAGTCAAAATGCAAATTTTAAACCCTCATAACTTCGAAATTTTTATAGATAAAATTTTATTACCTAACATTTTTTCCATGTTTCTGGTATCTTACCTTGAGAGAAAAATGCTCTGGGGCGCGAGTTCTGGCGCACCTGTATACCAAAGATGTATAGGTAACTCAAAATTTTGGCGAAAATTTATTAGTCGCAGCAAAATAATTCTTACAAATTTGGATTCCTCATATCATTTTGACCAAGAAAATTTGAATTTTGATTCACTTCAAAAATAAAGTTTTACACACAAAGCAAATATTGACGATATTATCATCCTCCAATGTTTTACAAATTCAGTTTTGATCAAAAACTTTGAGCAAATCCTTTTTTTTTAATTTCTAATACACCACTCACCTGAACTGTCTTATTTCTTACAAACAATAAAAAAACAGACATTTTACCTGCAATTGCAACACACAAATCGTCAAATCGGATTCATTAAACTCATACGGAATATTCCATCCCAACGGTCCAAATTTGCGCCTTTCTTGCACAATCCCATGAAAGAAACACAACGAAAACAACATAACTTGAAAACTTCTCCAATTCTCCACCGAATCATAAAAAGTGGGATCCGAAATCGGATCCGACATATACGACCTTAACAGATTCTGTCTTAAGCCTTTGGGAGCCTCATTTGTCATTTTAACCCCTAAACTCACCTTTAATTTAAAATCGGCCATCTTATCGTACTCACCATTCTGCAAAATGGCCACCGGAAACGCCTTACTCGGATAACTCGTCAACCACAATCTAAAATCCGGATTCGCCGCTTCCGGTACAATCACCTCATCGCAAATCCGGTCCAACTCCCTCATCCAACTCGCCGCTAAATGACAATTTTGCAAAACCACCCATTGACCCGTTTCCAATCCTTTAGTAATCATATTAGCCGCGATGGGGCCTTGACCTTGACCCAACGAAATCGTCATTAGATCAGTCTTCTGTATCCCTTTATCAGCCGCAAATCGGACCAATCCAGCCATGGGATCCGATCCAGGACTCAAAACAAACACCAATGGCGAACAAGCATGACTGTCATTGTATGACTCTTCAAGGTTAAATTGGGGCGGTTCTAAATAACGCGGACCCATCTCCTCGACAATGTACGATTGTACAGCAGGGACGATCTTATCGGGGCGGAGACAACGCAAAGCGACCAATCGGGTTAAGCCACGTAGTGTGTGAAAGGGAGGGGGACAAGGAACTTCGTTCGGATTGGTCACATCGTAAAACGCCTTCCATGCGTCCAAATCGGCCTCGAAATGATCCTTGAACTCCTCGAGGCCTTTCAAATGACTTGCACGGACGATTTCTGACCATGATTTTTCCGAAAGCCACTCCGGGGCGGGATTTTCAAACGGATTCTCGAGGGAAACACCACCAGTCAGTAAAAAATTCCAAACTTCTTCATCGATTAGGTGTTTTGAGCGTAAAATCCCCACGGTTAAGACTAGGGAAAAAATCAACTTGTCCTTCTCGAATAGTGATCGACAGACGTTCCTGTAGATGCTGTTAGTGAAATGATCGTTCAAATAACCGAGTCTGAGCTCCAAAGCTGGTGATTTTTCACTATTAGTGATCGATTGGTTGTATAAATTGATGAACCAAGTCATAGAATACTGATACATGGGATCGATGTTTGCCAAGTCGGAGATGCAGAAAAATAATACTGATGAGTGTTTGGAAACTGGTACGTACAAGTTTCTGGCATTATCGATTTCTTTTTCCGTCACTTGAGCCAATTTTTGCTTCTCTTGAATCTCCTCTGATAGTACTTTACTCGAGGAAAGTATCTTAATCGCAGTTTCATCCTCTAGAATATTCCCTTCGCTGGTTGAAAGGACCTCTAGAATCTTATCCTCAATCTCCTTCAACATCTTCTTGTTATTAGCACTCTCCACAATCATGGAATTCTTCTTCTCTTCCAACTCGGGTCGTTCCCTTGCGACCACAATCCCTAATAACTGGTCTTGTAACCCTTGACTCGTCAACATGAAATTCACTAAAGTCACTTTGACCGCAATTTCGGGCAAATAATGCGGATTCCTCAACCTCGTCGTGATATAAAACCGAAAATCCATCGAGTACTCTAGGAGATTATCCCCGAGTTTCAAGTACCAAATCCCTTGCTGTTTGAAGATGTTCTTTACTAGAATCGGATCTAAAGCTGCATCAATCTCCTCCATTACGTTTTCGAGGATTACGGGAGTACCAAAAGTGATGGCATGTTCTAAAACTCGGACATAATTCGCATCGGTGAGTTTGATTACTTGGAGTTTGTTTTGTTTTTCGAAGTTTTTCACCCATTTGTTGGCTTGGCCTTGAGGGTCGATCATGAGAGGCCATCGACGGGCTTTGGTCGCAATGATTCCGTTCTCGATGCTGTAGTTGTCGACGGGGAGGCCGGCGATGTTCCAGGTGCGGATGTCGAGGGGGTCGCCCATTGTGGCGACGAGGGAGAAGTTCTCCGAACAGGGAATCCCCAAGTGAAGGCAGAATTCGTTCCAGTCGCGGATTAATTCGTTTCTGGGGGGAGAGGAGCGATATTGTTGAGAAATTTTACAAAATGTTAAGTGTATTTCCACTAAAATAAGTTTTCAACTAAAATCTGTAGTTTTCACATCGTTAAAATTTCTGTATTGCAAAAATAAAATTTAAAATTGTGGTTGTTCTCAGTTTATCCAATGAAATCTGCAAAGTTATTGGAGAAAATTTTCTTCTTTAAGAACGAATACAAAATTTTAAAAGATCATCGAACTCATCTTAAAAAACTTAAGAAAGTTGTAATTTTTGAGACTTGACCCAATAACGTTTTATGCGCTTTTTTGAGTCTTTTGGACCTCTCGAAATCTAAAAAACGTTATACGGATCAATTTTAAAGTTGAAAATTTTTTGGATTTTTGTCGATTTTTGGCACCCGGACCGGTCTATTGCCAATAACTCCGGACCTATTGGTGATAACCTCTTATGTTTGGTACCGTTGGAAACAAAATTTAATTTTCTATCATATACAGGGTGTTCCGTTTTTATTGTTACAAATTTAAACAGGTGATAGAATATTCAATTCTAAGACAAAAGTTTCCTATAAACATGTATCGAAAAATGCTTGGTAAAGGAGCTACACCCCTTGGAAGGGGGCTAATATGTTTTTGCTAATATTTCAGAAACCATTTAAGATAAAATTACAAAATTTGGTACAGATGATAACCTTTATACACCTAAACGAATACAAACATCAAATGTCGAAATTTTTAAACATGGCGTATGAAACTGGGGGAGTTTAAGGTAAAAAATACCTTATTTATTTTGGTGTTAGTTTCTCGGTACTTTCAGCAACAAAATCTTAAGTTCGATAGTTTATCACAGAAAAGTCTCTCTTGTGTCGATACAACTTATTGTTTTTGAATAAAATTAATTTAAAATTTATGTTACACACCAATACAACATTCAAATAAATCAGAATTTAGAGAATAATAAAAGCAAGAAATTCATATTTTTTAATCAACCTCAACTAATTAACACTACATTACTGTAACAATAATAACATTAATTAAATGAATTTGCCTAAATCTAAAGGAGTTGTTCAAGGTGACCACCATTTTGGTCAATGCATAACTAAAGAAACTAAAGCCAAAATAGAAAGGGCATTTTTTTACCCAAAACCCCACCAATTTCGAACGCCCCTGATTAAAAATAACAAATTTTTCAAAATCGGATGTTTCTAGCCTTTTTCTTAAATTTATTACTCAATATCTCAAAAACTAGAGTTTCATCGTAGAGTATTTTAACTTGTTGCATTGTGTTCAGCGCGGAGTTTTACGTCTAGAAAACCATATTTCAAGCGTTTTTACAACTTAAGGTAAATTGACTATTTTTACGATTTTACTACTTCAAAAACTCAAAAAATTCGCAATTTTTTAAACTTGACCCAATAACGTTTTATGCACTTTTTTTAGTCATTAAGATCTCTAGAAATGTAAAAAATGTTAAATGGATCGATTTTAAATTTGAAATTTTTTTGATTTTTGTCGAGATTTTGATATCTCAATCATCATCAACTTACCTGAAATCCACCGTAAATGCCCCCAAATAGGCCACCGCCCCCGCCGATAAGATCACATCCCCTATGACATTCCCCAACAACCCTTCCAAATCCTTGGCCGTCTGCGACCATCGACTCTTTTCCCCACCCAATCCTCCGATCAACTTTTCAGCGCGATCCAATTTCTGCGAACAAATCTCAATCTGATCTTCCAACTCTTTCTTCTTCTTCGTTTCAGCTGCAAACTCATCATTTAATGCTTGCAACTTATCTGTAACTTCCTGAAGTTGTGCTCTTTTCTCATTTAGAGTATCCATTTGAGCAGCCAACTCGGCTTCCGCCTCGGCCAAAGCCGCTTTCTTCGGAGCCACGATCTTAATCACTCTATCGTAAACCTCCATGGCCCTCACCCATTTACATAACCCTTCACAAGCAGTCGAGACTGTTTTAATTCGTTCCGGATTAAACTCCCGATCCGGCATATACCGATCCCGGATTTTCTTCATCACACTCGTCGGGATGTTATCCTTGTCGTAAGTCTTCAAACTTTCAAGGAATTTCATATCTCCGAGAAGCTTCACCGACGGCCCCCAATAATCCTCGACCATTCTTCCGGTGGTTAAGTCCGGTTTCCGGTCCGGTTTGATCTGTTTCATCACACAGACGGCCTCCAAAACTAGCTTCACTCCGGATGGGGGGTTTTTCATTGACTTTACAAGTGTGATGTCGTTGGGTGTAAGTGTGTTGAGGGCCTTTATGGCCGCTTCCAGGGCCGGAATTGCTTCAGATAAGTCGGATTCGCAATCGTCTTTGATGGCTTGAGCCGCAGCTGCAGCTTCGTTAGCTAAGGCTTCGTCAGCACCAACGATTTCCTTTTTTTTCTCGACGATTACGGTGTCTTGCTCGATTTTGATCATCAGTTTTTCCGTCACGGCAGACGCCACAATCAGTTTCGGTTGCAAATCGTGCAACTCGTCTTGCATCAAACCCACCTAAGGATGGAAAATTCATCAAACATTGAAATATTTCAAGATTTCATCTCAAATTTTTCAAGAAAATAAAGTGAGGTAAAATACTCCATTTCTAAGATTTTATTGTAACGTAATTATTATAAATTTTCAAAATTTGAGGTTTTTAAACATTTGGACTCTAAAATAATCTTTTAAAATTAAGTAAGTACAAAACTTCAAAAATGGGTCTCTAGAGATAAATTAACTACATATCTCGAAAGTCCAAGAAATAAATAATTAAAATAAACAACCAAAAAGTAAAAA